GCCAGCACCATTTATTAAACAAACATTCTCTTCCCCACTTAATGGATTTGGGGCCTTTGTCAAAGATCAGCTGACTATAGGTCGATGGATCTATCAAGAGATTACTCTTTACATACATTCCATATGACAAAAACATTTATTTACTACTAATGAGAAACTAAAGTACTTATGAAACAATGTATTGGCAATCAGATTTCCCAGGATTTGGTAAGGGTGCTTTATAAAAGCTTAAAAAGGTATGTAGTTCTTTCAGCAGCAGCAGCATTACCTCATAAATTACTAAGGCTACCTTTCGCCCAGTAATCGATCAAGAGCACCTAGAACTGATTAAACCTTCATGACAGTAAAATCAGATGAGGGGCCAGAGTTCACCAGGGCTCTTATATTACTAACACTGGTCTCCCCTGAATTAGGGTTTTGGTTTTTTTTTTCCAAGGCCCTTGAAACCTTAAGTAAATAAATCCAACAGCCAGTGAAAACTGACACACCCAGAAACTCTCAGGGAAACATTTACTTCATAGTTCACAATAGACCGTCCTATTCCATCTCCAGGTGGCCTTGCCTGGAGCTAAAGGTCAAAAGAAACACTCCCTGATACCTTCATACCTTATAAAACATTGAGGGGGGATGGGGAATGAAGGGAAAAAAAGAACTAGAGGGCTTCAGAGAGCTACTAAAAAAACCTAAAATTATCCAACCTTCCTTCCGAGGAGTGGCTGGTAGGTTTGAATCGCTCACCAGCCTTCTAGTTAGCAGTCAAATGCCTTAGGCACTATGCCACCAGAGGTCTCAATGAGAGAGCAGGGGCACAAAATTGGAATGTATCACCTTGCTGTCTATTGTCTTGTTGTTGTTGTTGTTATGTGCCGTCGAGTCAGCCCTGACTCATAGCGACCCCTCCTTGGGTTTCCGAGGCAGTATCACTACGGAAGTAGGATTGCCCAACCTTCCTTCCGAGGAGTGGCTGGTGGGTTTGAACTGCCAGCCGTCTGGTTAGCAGGCAAGTGTCTTAGCCACTATGCTACCAGAGCTCCCAATTGTCTTAGTGCCATATAAATATCACATCCTTTCTAAAACAGTTTCATTTTTGCTCCTTAACTAACTAGAAAATACTTTACCTACATTTCTAGATGTTTTCCAGAATGAGACTAATCAGATACTAGAGCTAAAGGATCCTTCAAGATTATCAATGTCTTTACCTCAGACCCCCTGACCTATAGCACCTGTTCTTAGCCTCTCCACACTACCAATTCCCACCAGCCACAAACAAACCTACCCTGGCACCAATGTCCAGTATTCTCCACTAGCCTTCATGACAAGAGATCAATCTGGTCAAAGAATCCTGTAACGGCAGCTCCTGAGGATGCTCACGACAGCATCCTAACAGTTCTGAGAAACAGAGTCTCACTGCAAGTATCTCTAAAGACAGTTTAGGTCTCAGTAACAGACTCACTGAAGACATACTTTAGAGACAGGGACATTCTGAGCATCTGGCAAATCAAAGCATATAGGAAGCCACCTACTAATATGATTAACAGTATAAATAAAAGAGAAAATTGGTATAATCGTTCTCTCTTCCACTATTTTATAGGCAAATGTTAGCCCATAATTAGTCACTATGGTCTGTCATACTATTATTTACGTAAAATGTTTAAAAGATCTGACACCTGCAACCACTGCAAAAAGCACCCTTGTAAATCTTGACCTGAGAAAAGCACCCTGGACAATGTTTCCAATGTTTGCCAGTGCTGATGGGAATGTAAAAATGGTAAAGGCATTTTGGAAAACAGCCTGGTAGTTCCTGAAATGGGTAAACAGAGAGTTACCATAAAAACTCAAAAACCAAACTCAATGCCATTGAGTCGATTCCGACTCACAGCGACCCCCTTTAGGTTTTCAAGGCAGTAAATCTTTACAGAAGTAGATTGTCCAGTCTTCCTTCTGCAGAGTGGCTGGTGGTTCAAACCACTAACTTCGGGTTAGCAGTCAAATGCTGTAAGCACTATGCCACCAGAGCTTCTTACCATTTGACCCAGTAATTCTAGTCCTAAGCACATATCCAAGAGAAATGAAATACACATCTACACAAAAACGTGCATGTGAATATTCACACATTATTCATAATAGCTAAAGGAATAAGCAGAAAATTAGAGGTGGAGTGGTAGGAGGAGTTGCATTTGTTTTGCAAAGGCCAAGTTATTTCCACATCACTCCTTAGAAAGCCTGGATCCACAATTTGGAAATGGAAATCTGATTTTTAACTTGCAGTGAACCAATTTCCACTTATCCCACCCTCTTGAAATTCTGAGTGAAAACTGAGCAACAACTTTTGCAACATACAAAGACAACATTTCTAAGAACAAAGTTTAACAAAGCACTAAAAGTCATGCTTAAATACAGAAAACTAGGAGTTTAATAAAAGACTGAAAGTTTGGTAATTTTTTTACACTTACCCACTCCTCGACATTGGGAGGCTGCTCATCATAGACATGTTCCTTGTCCCACAGAATATTGGACTTGTCATAATAGTCTATCTTTCTTCGAGTTTTCACAGCAAAAAAAATTATTAATGCAAAAGCCACAATAACCATGAAACCCAGTACAATGGCAATGGCCTAAAAAGGGATTAAAGATATTGACACAATTAGATTTTACTTATTTTATCCCAATAATATTACACAAATTACCAGAATCCTTATCATCTAAGGCTGTATTAAATATCTATGGCTTAATTATATAAAAGTGAAGCAAATGGTTACATGTTAGAACTGTCATAAAACTAACCTAGGAACATACACACATACCTTAATTAAATCCTCAGAAGATGCTTAATGTTAGTTGCTACCAATTTTTCTGCATATAACATGCCCAAATAACAAACATGCATATAACATGTACAGGAAACTAACACGAGGGAGCTGCACAGTTTGCATATAAAAAATATGTAAAAAATTATATAACATGGTTATTTACGCTAAAAATACGGCATATTGTCATCCCTATTTTAGAGTTGAAGAAAACTAGTTCCAAAGCTTGTGTACTTAAGAGTCATATTTTTATACACAAATGAGAATGGCCAGTAATTATATGAATCATTCATATACTTATAATGGATATGAAAATGTTTTCTCATTTTCTCTATTTAAGTAGCCTTAAATACCTTGTTGTTGTTGTTATGGCCTTCAAGTCAGACCCAACTCGTAGCGACCCCTCCTTGGGTTTCCGAGGCAGTATCACTATGGAAGCAGATTGCCCCATCTTCCTTCCGAGGAGTGGCCTGGCCGGTGGGTTTGAACCACCAGCCTTCTGGTTAGCAGTCAAGTGCCTAAGGCACTACACTAGCAGAGCTCCTCTTAAATACCTAGCCACTTAATATCTTGTTCACTTACTATCAGGATTGAACCGCTCCAGTTCAACCCCCTGCTGAGAATTTGTCTTTCCACCCCAGCTACACTGAATCAGAACCTACATTTTAATAAGATGCCCAGGTGATTCTGTTAAAATCCTTTTTCAGAGAATACAGGTTTCAGAGAGTCAGAGCACTGAGAAAGAGGGTACTCTTAGCCTATTTTTCACATATACATCTGAATGGCAACAAATACTCTTGAAAACCTGTACTTACAAGGAAAACATTTCAGACTTCAAAATAACAGGAGACAGTTACAGAAGGTCTAACCCCAAAAGTGTTTTTGCAACACCTTCAGGAAAAAGAATGGAATTCCCAAGTCATGTAACAATAAAAAAAAAAAGGAAGGAAGAAAAACCAGTAACTCACAAATGTTTAATTTGTTAATTAGGATAACTCATGATTACTAATGACAAGGTTCTCAATGCTGCCTGTCCATTTGAACCACCTGAGCAGCTTTTAAAACTAATGGCATCCACTTTGAAAACCACAAACACTTTTCAAAGAAATTAAAACCCACTGCTATTAAGTCAATTCTGACTCATAGCAACCCTACAGGACAGAGCAGAGCTGCCCCATGGGTTTCCAAGGCTGTATGTAAATCTTTACAGAAGCAGACTGCTTCATCTGGTAGGTTTGAGCCACCAACCTTCTGGTTAGCAGCTGAGTTCCTTAACCACTGTGCTACTAGAGCTCCAGACTTAAAGGCCTTACCAAATGGAAAAACAGCCGATGTTCATAGACTGGAAAACTTACTATTGTTAGAATGGCAATACTCCCCAAATTGATCTATAGATTCAGTGCTACCCTTCAAAAATCCCAGCTGGCTTTTATTGCATAAATTGAGAAGTTGATTCTAAATTCATATGGAAATGAAAAGAACCTAGAATAGCCTAAACAATCTTTAAAATGAAGAACAAACTTGGAGGACTCACACTGCCCAATTTCCAGACTTACTACAAAGCTAAAATAAGACAGCATAGTATTGAGGTAAGAGCAGATCTACATATCAATAAAACAGAATTGAAATTTCAGACAATCCAATGTTGTTGTTATGTGCCGTCAAGTCGGACCTGACTCATAGTGACCCCTCCTTGGGTTTCCAAGCCAGTATTGCTACGGAAGTAGATTGCCCCATCTTCCTTCCGAGGAGTGGCTGGTGGGTTTGAACCGCCAGCCTTCCGGTTAGCAGTCAAGTGCCTTAGCCACTATGCTACCAGAGCTCCCAGACAATCCAATAGGGAAAGAAAAGTCTTTTCAACAAATGCCGTTGAGACTACTGGATATCTACATGCAAACAAATGTTGGATCCCTTCTTTATGTGTAAAAAATTAATTCAAAATGTGTCACAGATCAAAACATAAGAGCTGAGGTTACAAAACTATTTGAAGAAAACAAAAGAGTAAAATCTTGGTGACCCTGGATTTGGTAAATTCATCTTATAGATGACATCAAAAGCATAAGAGACAAAAATTAAACTGGATGTCATCAAAATGGAAAACTTTTGTGCTTTAAAGGGCACCATCAATAAAGTTAAGACAGCCCACAAAATGAGAAGTTAAGACAGCCCACAAAATGAGAAAATACTTGCAAATCATGTAAGAGGCTTATATTGAAAGTATATTAAGAATTCTTATAAAAAAAAAAAAAAAAAAAACCTTACTGCCATCGAGTAGATTCTGACTCATAGCGACCCCAACTGGCTTTCCGAGGCACTAAATCTTTACAGAAGTAGATTGCTCAGTCTTGCTTCTGTGGAGTGGCTGGTGGGTTTGAACCACCAACCTTCTGGTTAACAGTCAGATACCTTAGACACTGTGCTACCAGAGCTCCTTAAGAATTCTTATAACTCAATAATAAAAAGACAAATTACCCAATTAAAGAAGAAGGCAAAGGATCTGAATAGACATTTCTCCAGAGGATATAAAAATGGCCTGTCAGTCAGTACATGAAAAAATGTTCAACACCATTAAGGAAATACAAATCAAAGCCACAATGAGAGTCACACATTGAGGTTACCACTTTGCACCCACTAGGATGGCTATAATCAGACAGACATATAATAAATTGTTGTGAGGATGTGGGAAATGAGAATCTTCATACATTGTTGGAGGGAATGTAAAAACACACAGCCACACTGGAAAACAGTCTGGTAGTTTCTCAAAAGGTTAAATATAGTTATTATATGAGCCAGCAATTCTCCTCTTAAGCATATATCCAAGAGAAATGAAAACATACATCCACACAAAAACTTGTATGTGAATGTTCACAGAAGCATTATTCATAATAGCCAAAAAGTGAAAACTACTCACATGCCCATCACCTAATAAATGGGTAAACAAAATGTGGTATAGCCATATAATGGAGTAACTGGTACATGCTATGACATCTATGAACCTTGAAAACACTGCTAAGAAACCAATCACAAAAAAACGTATAGTATGTGAATCCATTTATATGACAAATACAGAAAAGACAAATCTGTAGAGATAGGAAGTAAATTAGTGGTTGCCTAGGGCTGAGGGAGCTGGAAAATTGGGGAGAGCCTGCTAATGAGTACAAGCTCTTTTTGCAGTGAAGAAAATGTTTAAAAATCATGTCATGATGGCTGTGTAACTCTGTAAATATATCAAAAGCACTGAACTGTACTTTAATGAACTGTAATGTATACGAATTATATCTTAATAAACCAAACAAAAAACCACTACAATCTGTCAATTACAACTCACAGCAACCCAACAGGACAGAGCAGAACTGCCTCACAGTATTTCCAAGCCTGTAAATCTTTATGGAAGCAGACTACTTCATCCTTCTCCTGCAGAGCAGCCAGTAGGTTCAAACTGCCAACCTTCTGGTTAGCAGCCAAATGCTTTAACCACTGCGCTACCAGAGCTCCTTGTTTTAATAAATATCTTAATCAAGCTGCTTTAAAAAATATTGACACTTGGTCCCTCCCCCAGATTCTGATTTATTTGGTCAGAAAGGGAGCCTTGACATCAATGTTTTATTTTTAAAAGTCTCCCAAAGTGATCTTATTGGACAGCCTGAGGTGAGTCTCAGACCTAAGGAAGAAGGGGAAATGAAGCAAACTATCATACCTCCTGGGGATCCACCACACAGTAGTGATACAAATACTGATCCACGTAGAGTCCAGTAGCTGCAGGTACATAAAACTGGTTGCAGAGAGCATATATCTGAGAGCCATATAAAGATCCAGAAGACTGGGCTGTTGGGTTGACTCCCATTATGTAGACAATTGTGGCAATAAACACCATGATGCCCAGGATAGCACTCACTATTATCACAGTCAAGTAGTATGTTCTTGTTCTGGATATTTCAGATCTTATAACACTGGTAACAAATACCATCAATGCAGCAATGAAAGAAAAGGCAGCCATGGCCAGCAGGAAGCCCTTTGCTGCTCTTGGATCTGTGTAGCCTCCTCCATAACCATAACCATAGCTATAACTATAGCTACTTCCAAAGCCACTGAAGCCACCTGCTCCATAAGGGTAGCCTATACCACCTCCCAGTAAGCCATTTCCATAGCCTCTGTCCCAGGCAAGCGTGGAGGCAACACAGGCAAATATGGCAATGCACATCACAATAATGAGCATAGAGAGAATCCGAATCACTCCTGGAGGAGAGGTCCATTTGTAGAAGTGAAGAATTTCATCTTCTGGGTAGAAAGAATACGCTGGCTGAGAGAGCATTGGTCGGTTGTGCATCTCTCCACCATATATGTCATTGCTTGGTGCATAATGATTTGGCTTGCTGAAATGCACATGAAAACAATTTCCAGTTAGCAATTTTTGGTGGTTTTAAACAGGAAGAACATATAAAGTATCTGGAATAATTTATACAAAACACTGGCTAAACTATTCTTCCTACTGGCCGATTAAAAACCATAAGGATATCTATGCATCAGAATCATTGGATGGCTTGTCAAACACAGATGATGGGCCCCACCCAAGGCTGGACAGGTTTCCAGCTGATGCTGATGCTGACACGTGCTTGAGGACCACTACTCTAGCACCCTACACAGCACAGATTCTCAAACTGGCTGCATATTAGGATCCTATGGAGAATGTGGAAAAGCATCACCGTATACCAGTTAAATCATTTCTGTGGAAAGGAGCCAGGCAGTTTAGGACAATGACTTTTAATCCTTTTGCCTACGTGACTTCAAGATCAGTGCATTAAGACATGACATTTTTACTAACCTACCTGGGGTCATAGGTCCCGAGTAGCACCTGCATCACTCTTAAAACTGACAATATGAAAAACATCATGCTAACGAGAGAAGCCAGTCACAAAAAAACCACATATTGTATGCTTCCGTTTGTATGAAATGCCCATTTAAGAGCCAGAAAGCAGATTGGTGGGGGCTAGGGGAGAAATGGGGACTAACTGCTAATGGGTGCAGGGTTTCTTTTTGGGTGATGAAAATGTTCTAAAAATATACAATCTCAATGGGTAAATTGTGAGATATGTGAATTACATCTAAATAAAGTTGTTAAAAAAAATTGACAATATATTGCCAATGGCCATCTAAACAAGGCAATTTCACTCAATCAACAAGTGTTCATTAATGGCCACACTATACCATGGGAGCATGCAGAAGTAAGAGTTCTCAGGAAGGGCAGGCACTATTTGGAGAAAGAAAACTAGCAAAGAAAATAGCAGTCACATCAGCAGGTGTTTATGGCTGAACTGCATGGTATCATTTGTGAAAAACAAAAGGAATAAATACACAAGTAACTATAAGCCTATACTATCTCCTTAAGGAAACATAAGAAACCGGTGACAGCGGTTGCTTCTGCAGAGGGAGACTGTCTTCCTAGAAGTTAAGGGTTAAGAGGAAAACTCACTTTTCACTCTCTTTTGGTCCCATTTAAAATTATAAGTGTACAAACCATTCTATTTTTTAAAAGCAAAGCACTTAAGAGATGAAAGTTCCAGCTATGTTTCTTACATGTGATAGACAAAAAAAAAAAAAAAACTAAAGAATTACTTACAATTCATCAGGTCTATAAGGAGGTGGACTTTCAAAAGGCCTTGATGACATGGCTGGTGTTATTGGTCACCTGATCTTCAGATTGAGCAACACCTGCTAACTCCAAGATAAGACAACCTAAGCAACAAAAGGAGGGTAATGGCGTTTACTGCTGAGGTGGGAGTTTCCTTACATTAGTAAGAAACTAATGATATCAATCTCCAAGTAACCACTCAGCACATGGTTACTTCTCTTATCCTTTCCATTGCCATTTTTACGGTTGGACCATAAATTCCTTGAGCACAGGACATCACTGAGCACAGGCGTTGTCCAGCTTGGTATCCCTCATAGGGTGTAGCATCATGCTCTGCACATCACTGATGTACAAATGTTTTTTTAAACTTGAAAATATAAGTTACAGGAACGATAATTGCACAAAGCTTTTCCAGTACAGGTAAAATGGTATTTTTTAAATATTCATTTCAAAGATCAGGAAGATGTGTAAATAAAAACAACATAAAATCCTCAAATTCAGTTTCCTATTATTTTCAAAAGTTCATATGAAATGTGAATGCATATCAAAGTGTATATACAGTATCTACCACTTCTCAGAAGGAAGGCTGGGCAATCTACTTCCATAGAGATATCGCCTTGGAAACCCACGGAGGGGTTGCTATGAGTTTGAACCAACTCAAGGACAGTGATTTTGGTCTTTTTTTGGTTAGCACATATTAGCTCCTCACCAGTAACTAAAGCATAATCTAATCAGTTAAAAACTGTGTCTTTATCATTAAAGATGACTACAAAACTTATCTGTGGATGGTGAAATTGTGGGTATTTTCCCTTATCTCCTTTTCCAAGTCTTCAAAATGAACAGTATATTTATAAAAAGGTAAAAAATGTTAAATACACATTGCATTAGAGAGCCCTCTTCTAAGAGAAAAGTTCAATTATTTTGTTTTAAAATTCCTCAGAGCACAAATCTCTGTCTGAGAGGCAAGTTCACTCAAACAAGTGTTTACTCATGGCATAGTGCCTAAGGCACTTGACTGCTAACCAGAAGGCTGGCAGTTCAAACCCACCAGCCACTCCTAGGAAGGACGGTTGGGCAACCTATTTCCGTAGTGATACCACCTCGGAGACCCAAGGAGGGGTTGCTGTGAGCTGGATCCAACTCAACAGCAGTGAGTTTAGTTTGGTTTAGTAAGCTATACCATAAAGGAGCTCTGGTGGCATAGTGCCTAAGACATTTGACTGCTAACTAAGAGGTTGGCAGTTCAAACTCTCCAGCCACTCCATGGAAGGAAGACTGGGCAATCTACTTCCATAAAGATTTACTGCCTTGGAAACCCAAAGGGGGTCACTATGAGCCGGAATCGACTTAATGGCAGTGAGTGTGGTTTTAAACTATACCATGGGAGACTGAGGAGCTCTGGTGGCATAGTGCCTAAGGCATTTGACTGCTAACCAGAAGGCTGGCAGTACAAACCCACCAGGCACTCCTTGGAAGGAAGGTTGGGCAATCTACTTCTTTAGTGATACTACCTCAGAAATCCAAGGAGGGGTCACTATGAATCAGATCCGACACAAGAGCAGTGAGCTTGGCTGGTTTGGTATGGGAGCCTGAGGAAGTATGAGAAAGTTCTCAGGAAGGTCACACACTATTTGGGGAAATGAAACTAAAAAACTGCAGTCACATCAGGCAGTGTTTGGGTGGAACTTGCATTATCAAGTGCAGCATAGGGGTAACCAGGGCAGACTAAGAAGAGACTTAAGCTGTGAAGGGCAAGGAAAGCAATCCAGGCCAAGTGTGGCTGGCTGGTTTGTGGGACAGTGAAGGTGGTGGGGGGATATGCTGGAATAGTGCAATCTTCTGCAATAAGGCCACACAGATGGAATGTAGTGAAAACATGGATGGCTTCCAAAGCCTAGGAGACATTTCTCATCTTATCTCATTCAGGTAGGGAACAGGGAGCCAGTTCATGATTCTCACTCAGCAAGGGAGGTATACAGAAGTTTGATTTCAAACCAGATTAGAAGGACAAACAAGACTGAGTAAGGAAGGGCACCTGGAGTCAGCAGCAGTGAGCCCAGGTATATGTGTAGTGAAGGACTGGATTAGGGATCCAAACAAAACCAAACCCACCACCATCGAGTCAATTCCACCCCCCACTGGATTTCCAAGGAGTAAAACTTTACAGAAATAGATTGCCTGGTCTTCCTTCCATGGAGTGGCTGGTGGGTTTGAACCATCAGCCTTCTAGTTAGTAGGCAAATGCCTCTTAGGCACTGCACCACCAGAGCGCCTTAGATTAGGAGATAGGAGAGAAGAAAACTAACATTTATCAGATACCTACCATGTATACAAGATGCTTTACATACAAATCTCATTTTATCCTCCAAGCAACTTTTGATGGTTAACTAGACACTTTACAGGTGCAGAGCTGGTGAGAATGTTAAGTAATTTGCTCAAGGTCATGCAGAGGCTAGTGAACCACTGAGCTGCAATTTCGAACCCAAAAGATCTCACATGCTTTCCACTACCACAACTATAAAGAATGAGCTCCTTTTGGGATACAGGCAGTCCCCAGGCTATGAACATCAAGCTTATGAACAACTTAAACTTGGTCTTTAATGTTAAATAAGTATGTCCTCACTTCGAAACTACTGCACCAACCCATACTTAACCAACCCAAACTCAAAGTTCATCCCAATCAGCTTTACTTGCTACATGTGCAGCTTTTAAATAATGGAACAGGCTTTGAGCCTTTTCTTGCACTAACCAAAACCCCCAAACCACTGTGATTATGAGTCGATTCTGACTCATAGCAACCCTATAGGACAGAGCGGAACTGCCCCATAGGGTTTCCAAGGCTGTAAACCTTTGCAAAAGCAGTTGTCCTCATCTTTCTTCCACAGAGCAGCTGGTGGATTCAAACCACCAACCTTTA